AAAAAGAAAGGTAAATGATGATTCATCGTCGCTTATCAATGCTATGAAGGAAGAAAACAAAAGACTTGTTGAGGAGATGAAAAATACAAACGATCAAATAAAACATCAATTGGAAATACGCGACAGATCTCACGCTTTAAAAGAAATGAGGGAAGAAAATAGAATTCTGCTTCAAGATGTCAGTTCCATAGCAGATCCTAGAGTTCGAGCATACGTTGAAGCTGAAAAAGCACGAATCTTGGAGAAAAGAGCTCAACAAGCCCAATCCGATCCATTTCCAACCAATACATTTGGCCAATTTTTCAATGATCTTGGAGGAAGCGGTGCCAACTTACCAGATTACTAAATTCTCGTACTTGTTTTTTAGTTTGTGGCTTTATGATGTATTTTTATTTTAGTACTGTGTGATGTTGTATTTCATTTCAGCACTTGTTACTTAAATGGTTTTCTTTAAATCGTAATGTATCACGTTTTAATGTTATTTTAATCTGTATTAGTAATGTTGTTGTTATTTAATGTTAGTGTTTTCTTTTCTTGTTAAATAAAAATACCATTTTGCAGTACACTTCCCATTTTGCAGTAATTCATCTCCAACCAAAAAACTCATTTTCTAACCCAAAAGAATATACAAGAATAATCATTATTAGCGACACCAATTTTAGTGACGACATTAATGTCATGACTATAAAATGATTATTGTGACGACATTCGAACATATAGCGACATTATTAGCGACGGTATTTATTGTGACGACATTTGAACATATAGCGACAAAAATTTTCGCCACTAAAGATGATTATTCTCGTAGTGATATTCTCAGAATATTCCCTTTTACATCAACTTTCACAACTTTTCAATACTACCCACATATTTTACAAATTTACAAATTAAACCACACTATTATTTTCAACTCAATTTAGACTTTATGTAATAAAATCAAAATAAATAATATACTAAACACCAAACTATGTCAAAGATATATAATAATAAAATTTATATAACCATATATAAATATTGAATAGACAAGGGCCAAAATGAAATTGCAAAAAAATTTTGCAGTAGTGAACAGTATAATTAAATGATGGATATAATATTTATTATTTTAAATAATATGTATATTTACATTATTATTGTGAAATATTAAAATTAAATGATGGATATAATATTTATTATTTTAAATATTATACTATCTAATTTTTATGAAATCGATTTTCTTATTATTTTACATTATTATTATTATGAATGTTCATTAATTTAATTATCATATAATATAAATTAAAAAGGAAGGGAATAAGAAAAGAAATTAAAAAGGAAGAGAATAATATAAATAAATACTTGAAGCACCTGTATGCAAATAAGAAAAGAACCAACGCAAAATTTGCGTTGAAACGCAAAATTGCGTTTGGGAAGGAGAGAGAAAGCCTATCAACGCATTTTGCAGTCGATTTTGCAGTACGGTTGGAAGGATTTCTACTGCAAAAATTGGGTTTTGCGTCTCCGTTGGAGACGGTCTTAGTTCTAGTATGCATATATTATTTGGGCATACATGATACATTTATAAATGATAAAAAATCTATATTTTGTTTATTAAAAAAATAACATCTTTGCATATACACAGGATCAACTACTCGTTGTGGTCCTTGTGGACTTATATTTTGATTTCCTTATTATCTCCTTTTACGGACAATTATTTGATAATCAATTAAAATTAAATATAGTCAAAAATTTAATCTATATAGCCAAAAATTTAATCTTGCATGTTTTTGTTTTTAAAATTGAATTACATATGCTCTTTGGTTTGCACTTGCATTTAGTTTTATCAGCAGTTATAAAAGAATTGCAGACTTCTCATTATTTCGTGGACACTTTAAAAAGGATAAATAAAATAAAAATCTTTTGAATTGGTTTTGAAATTGAAAAGTTGGACTTCCATTNAAAAAAAAAAGAAATTGAACGCTGATTAGACCAACATGTGAAGAAGGGTTTAATTGTTGTGTAATAAGTTTATTATGTATCAATAATATTCAATTCAAAAAACACAAAATTAATCTTCATTAGAAATTTAGTGTTAGCACTTCTAAATTCCTCTCAAAGAAAATCTTGATTTTAGATTAATGAATGCCAAAAATAATAACGATAATATTTCAAAATTTCACCATTTATTTAATTAATTTGTCACAGCTGGTACTACCCAACCCAATCCCTAATTTGTATTGTTCACCAACTGTTTTTCTTGCAACGAGAAATTCAATCATTGCAATTTTTTTCTAAATCACAACTCCAGCCCAGCAGAAACGCTTATTTCGGAAAAACTCCTGAGAACACACTTCATAACTGATTCTGGTCGACGATGCATAAACTGTACCGAGTGCTACCTGAATTGTACGCACGTACTGGAGCGTACACAAACGAACTGGAAATAGCAATTCCGTATAACCTCAACCAACTGGGCCCTGCACCCCACCCCACTCAGAAACAGAAAATAGGCTATTATTTTGTCTCTTTTGAACCCACTACATTGAAATCTTCAATTGCGAAATCTCAGCCGTTGGATCAAAACGAATTGGTTTGACTTGCACAGGCACACCCGGTGACCGGTCGCCTTCACCCCCTTATATTTTCCCCTCTTCTCCCCCTTTTCATTCACCTCTGCATTTCCTTTTCTTCCTTCTCAACAAATACTCGTACTGATGAAGTTACAGTAGAGAAACAAACAAAAACATATAAATAAAAATTATATCAATCAAATTCAGCCTATTTTGTGATCTGTCTACGTTTAATCATGGCGGTTGAGTTATTGGGCTACACAAATCTCAAGGAGCAGATGGCCATTCAGGAAGCCACCTCAGCCGGGTTGAAATCCATGGAGCATTTGATTCGAACAGTTTCTCATCAACAGCAGCAGCAGATGTGCCAGAGCCAGCAGCTCGACTGCCGGGAAATCACTGATTTCACCGTCTCCAAGTTTAGGAAGGTGATTTCCATCCTGAACCGGTCCGGACACGCTCGGTTCCGCCGGGCTCCGGTGCAGCCTCAGCCGGATACCGCTGCCTTCAACCCGGTTCAGCACCACAAGCTGCCTTCAGTCTCGGCTCAACCTCCGACGATTCCGACTTCTGGAGTTTACCAGCCTCAGCCTCAGCCTCTGAACATCTTCTCTCTTTCCCCAGCTCCGTCCGTCGCTGAAGCGCAGGCGCAGGCGCCGGCAGCAGCTCCGTCTCTGACACTTGATTTCACCAAGCCGGGTGCTGTTTTCGGTAAGGATGGGGGCGAGAAGATGGGTAAAGAGGGGTTCAGTTTATCGGCGGCGTTATCGACCTCCGGGAACTCGTCTTCGACCTTTTTGTCCTCCATTACGGGGGAAGGAAGCGTTTCCAACGGAAAAGGTGGTCCGTCGTCGATGTTTCTTGCGCCGGCGATCTCCGCCGGAAAACCGCCGCTCTCCGGCAAAAGGTGTCTGGAGCACGGGCATTCCGATAGCATGTCCGGGAAAACCTCTGGCTATACCCGGTGTCACTGCAAAAAGAGGTACGTTACCGATTTGAAACTCCACGACTGCTTGCTGTTTATATTATCTCCGGTATTCTCTGATTTGCTCAACTAATTTGAAATTTTATTATAATTATTAATCGAATTCAATGAATGGATGAACAGGTTGAACATCTAATTTTTATTTTTTCTTAATTTTGAGGAATTAAATCATATATGANATGACAAAAAAAAAAAAATAGAGAGAAAATTTGACTTTCTGCAAAAAAGAAAAAATAAAAATAAACAGGTGCAAGTGGCTCATCAGCCACTCTCTTGCGAAAGCACGCTTGTCAGTGGAAACCGACTCAGCCAAAGTTGTTTTTCACGCCGAACACCATGTTTTTCACGGCACTCCGTGTTTCAAAATACCAATTTTGCCCCCGTCGATTCTCAAATTTACCAAACAAACTCTGAATTAATTCCAAATAATTCGATTTTCCTTGTTCTTTCAATCGTTGCTGAAATCTAACGGCCAGTATTGATTCTGCAGGAAATCCAGGGTGAAGAGGACTATCAGAGTTCCGGCGATAAGCTCGAAGGTCGCCGATATCCCGGCGGACGAGTACTCGTGGAGAAAATACGGTCAGAAGCCAATCAAGGGCTCGCCATACCCACGGTAATTACCGTGCACCATCTCCGATCACCCGAAGATTAAACTGACATCCCCAATTAATAATTAATCTACGATTGATCTATTGCTTATTAGTTTTCGTTTTCTCCGTTTTCAGGGGTTACTACAAGTGCAGTACGGTGAGGGGTTGCCCGGCTAGGAAGCACGTGGAGAGGGCAACCGATGATCCAACGATGCTGATAGTGACGTACGAGGGGGAGCACAGGCACACGCAGGGCGCGATGCAGGAGATCCCTGCCGCACCAGGCGCAACACCGGCCCAGTTAGTGGTGTTCGAGTCATCATGAGTTGACAGAGGTCTCTTTTTGTAATTTCGAGGGAGATGGAGGGGTTGTTTTGGGAGAGAGAAATTGAGTAGGGTGGAGCCATTTTTAGAAATTTTAGAAAATTTGGGGGTGGGTTTGTAAATTTGGTAGGAGTAGAGCCTAGATTCTGCAAAGGGAAAAGAAAAATATATGTTTGAACTTTGAGTAATGTTGTTGCTTTCTTTTAATTTATCCGATGACTTTTTTTATTTTTTACCTTTATTATCTGTTAGCTTTGGATCCTCATGTTTGAAATCCGAGCCGGGTTGTCTTTTTTTGTTTGATTGTTTTTGGCAGGAATAGAATATAAGAATTGAATTGTTAGTGGGAAAAGAAGGAATTAAAGAAAGTTTGGTTTGAAAAAGTCAAAAAGGTTGTGAAATTAAAAAATGAAAACAATATATTATGGGATTTGGAAACAGCTGCACATCACAATTGTATGGTGCGTATTTAAACGTTGCTATCTTTGACCTGCACACACACATTTTTTTCATAATGGCATAAGCTCAAATTCAAATATGTAGACTTTCCAAATATTATTAATTAATAATTGAATAGGTCAATCCTCACTTTATCCGTCGATTTGATGGATTCATATGTCTTTATGAAATTAAATAAGATCGAAATTTATCTGTAATAATTCAACGAAATAAATCATATCAAGGAAAATCGTCTTATTGCAAAGAAGATATCAGGATAACTTTTCATCAACTGCAACTATAACGCACATTCCCTTATTTAGTAACAAATAATCAACTCTTGCATTTGCATCGAGAAAATATTTATAAAAAATAATAATATAAAAAAAATATATATATATATATATATAAAAAATTATAAATTAATTCATAAAAAATTCAAAATCATCATTTAAAATCATTTTTTTTGTCGTCCGTTGTGATGTCATAAAGTGGAACAAAGCCGCACCAAGAAACATTAGAAATGTTGAATATGGAACTATTTTGACACAAACGTTATGGACTTGTGATTGCAAAAAACAATCTATAAAAAAGATTATAAGTAAATTAAATATGAACATAATAATATTGAACAAATTTCTAATAACAAACATATATAGGAATAAAAAAATACATTATATCAACAAAAAAATAATACTAAGATTTTGATGGATGGATGATGGAGTATAATTGACTTTGGTGTTTGGAACGAATGTTTTACTGTAGAAATATCAAATGGCGTACCTACAATGAATAATTGACAAAGTCAAAATAAGATAATACAATACAATTTTAAAAATATATGATACAACAACTGCATTTCTAATTATAACAATTGTAACAAAACTGAAAGAAATAAGCGTAATTGATTTTCTAATGAAACCGAATTTGTGACATTCATTACAACGAACGCGTGGTACTAAAATATTAAACGCAAAATGAATGATGTATAATGTTATATGCAGTAATAAATTAAAAAATTTATTGAAAATATTAAACTCAAAGCCTAAATAATATAATTTGGGATGAAACTAGAACAAATAAGGAATAATAAAATGTGTACCGAATTTATTATAATTGTCACCCAATATAAACATTTGGGTCAAAATTATATACTGAACAGATAATGCATTATAAACAATTGCTGAATTGGGTTGGATAACATATTAAAAAAATGTGGTGAATTGGACTTTTGATGTAGGGAAGCGTACGAATGGGAAAGATAAACGAGATACTCTCTCGATAAAGCTCACAAGCAATTCATATTTTTATTCAATTATCAACCAAGAAGTTAAACTAGAGGGAGTCCTTTATATAAGACCCCTAATCCTAAACCTAACTTGTCCAACAAGACAAGATGTCTTATAATAATATTTAATTCATAACTTATTCTCCAAGATACTACTACTACTACTACTAATAATAATAATAATAATAATAATAATAATAATAATACTAGATACTAATCTACACCATTCTCCCCCGGTTTAGAAGGCTTCGCCCTCGAAGCCGATGCGCTCCCGTGGTCGGCGTGTGGTGTCGAACTCATAGTAGGAAACCCCCGTCGTTTCCCCCGGTCGAACACGAAGGATAAATGTCGTCCAACAATCCCGATGGTAAACATAATCATGGGCAAAGATTGAACTGCTGCAAATGCACATGTACACGCCTTCATACGCATAACCCACACAACTGAATTAACACAAACATTACCACATCATTCGCCGCGCTCAAATCTATAACTACGGCCAAGCATCCCGTTGTTGGGAGACTTCACGATAGACAATCGAAAAATGACCCACCAGTTATTGAGCCTCAGCTTCGGCTCCCAAAAGCCATCGTTAGCCAAGATACTCCAAACATCGGGCTTCAACGACTGTTTCCCCATCAAAGGCTCAACTTCTGCGACGTCCCACGCGGGACCCATATTGTCGTAAAAATATGTCTCTGTCACCGGAGGCTCCTCATCGAAAATAGGCGGACCGTCGTACAATAGCCCGTCATCTTCCTAATAATTGCACTCTGTTGCCGCACATTTTGATCGTCGCGCGCAGCAACGAGTTTAGTCTCGACAGGCGGAGGCGGCCACTCTCCGAAGGGATCCACCTCCGAGATGGTCTCCTCGCCGTCTGCATCGCCAGACGACGGTTGTGGAGATCGTTGACGGGACGCCCCGCCTGGAACACGACCTCTACTTCCTCCGTGAACTCCCCCGCGCACACCCCTGTTGCCGGCAGCACGGTTCATCTGCAAATCCCAGACTATGTTGTTAAGGGTCAAACGCAAATCCTCGATCCCCGTCGAAAGATCTGCAAACCAATCCGTGAAACGCACGTCCAACTGTTCAAATCGGTAGTCGATCTGTTGAAATCGATCGTTGAAGGTTGCATCACGTCGTTTGTTTGCGGCATCTTGTCGTCCCAGCGACATCGCGAATCGTACTGACTGCTGATACCAACTGATGTAGGGTAACGTACGAATGGGAAAGATAAACGAGATACTCTCTCGATAAAACTCACAAGCAATTCATATTTGTGTTCAATAATCAACCAAGAAATTAAACTAGAGGGAGTCCTTTATATAAGACCCCTAATCCTAAACCTAACTTATCCAACAAGACAAGATCTCTTATAATAATATTTAATTCATAACTTATTCTCCAAGATACTAATAATAATAATAATAATATTAATAACAATAATAATAATAATACTAGATAGTAATCTACACCACCTTTTAATTTTTTATTAAAAAATCTATAAGGGTGACTTGAGCCGATATTTTTAGCAAGGCTATTTATTTAATGGGCCCGATTTGGTAAATCCCAAGAAATAACTTTTTAAATTGAACCTAATACACATTTTTTTGAACAATAATAGTAAAAAAAAAAAAAGAACCAGGTAACCGGTAAGACCAGTTACCAAAAAAAGGGTTACAAAATCCTCGATTTAAATAATCCGAACGCTCCATGATTCAAGCTCATTTCTCTCTTGTTATTAGCGGATTATGCGTTTTTTTGTCTCTGTCAAAATTCTAATTTTTTTCTATAATCATGCCTTTTCTTTGTTTTTTCAACGAAATATTCCAATCAAATTCTGAAACAAAACAGAGATATAACATCAAATAAGTCTGATTTTACAATTCCGTTTTACTAAATCATATTAAAACTGTGTAATCAGCTGATTACATAACAGATCTATCAAGACATGATATTTTTTTTATTTGATGTTGTCATCCCTGTTTTTCTAAATTGTTTCAATATGAATCATAAGAAAATGGTCCAATAGGGCGATAGTAGTACATATCTATCAAGATCTGTAATCTTTGTTATTAATTTATGATTTTTTTTTTTTCGTAAACTATATTTTGAGTTAATTTCAGAAGTCGGTTTGGAAGGAAAGTTGACCAACAATGTCCTACTAATTCTCTGAGTCTTACGCTACAATCAAGAAATGTTCGACTAATTCTCTCAGTCTTACACCACAATCAAGAAATATGTGGCATTGGAAAAAATGGCATTACATTTGTGTGATAATGTAGTAGTGGGAAGTCGAGCTAGCTCGATGCACCATGGAGTGCGTGGATATACCATCAATCTCTGAGGAGTTAAAAGCATGGGGCATTACTTGTAGACTTAAGCTAAGACATTTTTTAAATTCATTATTGTTAGAATATCACTTGTGAGTTGTCCCACACCGTTCATACATAGAAAATAAACTCACCTTATAAGTCTAATGAACTACTCCTTCTTCCACCAATTGGTTTTGGGATGGAACCCTACTTGGGCTTCATATGGGTTTTCTCTGTTCATGGTGCGCTTCAGGTTTAGTGGTCCCGCACCCTTTTTTCTCCTGTTTCTGTCATGGTATCAGAGCCGGTTTTATTGGTGACCGTGCGATGACGTACCCGTCACCCAGCCCAGTTGGGGCTTGGGCTTTCGAAGGACTCACAAGTGAGGGGCATGTTAGAATATCACTTGTGAGTTGTCCCACATCGTTCGTACATGGAAAATAGACCCACTTTATAAGTCTAATAGGTCACTCCTTCTACCAATAGGTTTTGGGATGGAACCTTATTTAGGCTTCATATGGACTTTTCCGTTCATAGTGCGCTTCATGTTTAGTGGGCCCGCACCCGTTTTCCTCCAGTTTCTGTCAATTATCAAAGTAGCTCACAAAGTCATAAGAGACGAAAGACGATTTCTTACAACACAAATTCATTGCCATATGAGTGTCGTGCAAAGTACATTAAAATGGAAGAAACTAAAGGCCACTTCTTACAAAACAAAGCCAGTAAGTGACAAATACAAGCAGTTAGAGGATCAATATGTTAGTGCAATGGTTTGATCAATATGTTCCACTCACAATATGTCAGGCCAATTGATCACTTCAAAATGTTCGTTTTTAGAGATAGAGAACCTAAAAAGGAAGTTAGAGAATGTAATGATAAGTGCGGTTGAGACGCATGGTCTTGCTTGATATTCTTCTAAAAAAAATGTATTGGTCATTCATGCCAATTCCTTAAACTATCAAGCATTTTTCATGTTACAACATATGGTCCAAGACAAAGAAGAAGAATCAAAATTACCTTTTTTCTCTCTCTATCACCAAAAGAAAAAATCCCCAATTAACAAAACCCTCGTTCGGCCGTGAACCCACCTTCTCCAGCAGGGCCTCGCCGGGCCATCTCGGCGCCAGTCATCCCCAGACTGTGCGGCCGGCTATTGAAGGCTCGCTGGACTGGAGGCTCCCTCTTACCGGGTGAAACGATGGATTCGCCCAATATGGTTTTCGCCTCCTAATAGCTTACCATGGAGGGTATTGGCTGGCGGTTCCCCGGCGGAGAGTTTCCGGCGAGTCTGCGATTAAGGGCTGTGGCTTCGATCGTCTCTTGTGGGGTGGTCAGGCTGAGATCGGGCCGTTCCGCTCCCCTTCTTT